ATAGTCCGTATTTTGTGCAGTGCCAAAGATTTTGCAAAGAGCAAACTTCTGCTTTTGCCTGCAGAGTTTTGCTTGGACAAAATAGAGATAGCATTTTGTTTTTTAAGTGGAAATAAAGCTTTGCCTATGGTAAGTATAAGCATAAGCATAGGTTAGTGCTATAGGCATACTGTATTGCCTTTCTTGGAGAAAATAGAATTTTAGATATTGTGGAACTACACTAAATATTGTTTGTCCTAACAGCGGCTATATCGAGCTGGTCATTTGGACAACATGCACAGATACACCCTGCCCCTTGACCGTCCTGACCTCATAAGGGCACGGCTCAATGCACTCCACATCAGTGATGTAAGTAATTGTTCTTTTTCATTTGGAAGTTAATCTCATAATCAGTATAATGACAAAGATTACTTATCTTATATTCAAGCTATTTTGAGTAATATAATTTTGAAACTATACTACAGGTAAAAAGAATATTGCAGGATCGGATCTGAGTTGGTCACTGGGACCAAAGGTTCTGTCTTCCAAGCTTTCGGGCTCATGCTGGAGCCCATCTTCAGGGAACTTCTCTCTCTTCAGAAAGTACACAGATGGATCCTGCAACATTATCCCGGACACGTATCTTTGCCTTCTTTCATGTAAAAGAATACTGCTGCCTGCTATAGACTAATTTCACAGATTAAAACATTCTGTAACAATGAATAGACCATGTTTCATTGTGAACAGTTAAATTATATGCATAGTCATGTGAAAAATTGATATGCAAATAATTCCATAAAGTGACCCGTTTAATCAATTACTGGAATATAAAAATAGCAGAGAACAATGCTGGAAAGGCTGCTCCAACACACAAAGAAGTAGAAGCAGGTAGCACATTTTGCATTGAACACTACCAAACCTTTCCCTCTCATGTCAGAAGAAAAGAATAAGAGAGCTATATTGCTCATGCAGTTAGAGCGGCATTGCCATGCACAGATGAATGGCACAGTTGTATGTCGGGTATGTTCTGTTTCTTCTCAGACCATTCAAATGGATCAGCATGTATCTGAACTGAAACAGCCAGTGAGTGCATGAGGAGGTGGAGATGTTGGGGGCATCTCATTAAAAATGAAACTGCTTTTGGTAGATACACAATTGGATCAGATGCCTCAACAAAGCTGTTGAGAGAGACTGACCCCAGAGCACAGAGAAAAAGAAGAAAAAAAGCCATGTTGGTATTTGTAAAGCTGCAAAGATAGCCATAAATCAAATGAATGTAATGTGCGAGGATGAGTGCAAAAACTGTGCAAACTGTGATAAAGTAAAATGATGCATGGGGTTTCGAATCAAAGGATCTGTGTTAAGAATGAACTGCAACAGCAAGGCCAAAAATTTGCAGATTTAAAAGAAAGAAAAGGAGAGAGAGAAAAGGGGGAGGGAAATGACAAATGACTAGAACTTGAGAAAAGGGTCTAGATTTGGATCTCATCCATATTGGGAGAGGGAATGCCAAATTCTTTTAATATAAGTTCTGCAAACAAATCTAAAGATTTATCTAAAACTGCTCTTTAAAGAGGCCATCTTTTATAATTTTTGGATGCATGCTTGCTTGTGTTCTATGTCATCTTATCTTAAACAAGCATATTACTGGCCAGACTACAGGAGTAAAATTTGTTAGAATTTCAGGTCCATTCAAAAACATGAAGGTTGTATTAATTTATCACAGAAAAATTATTCATGAATCTAAATGGACAAATTCAGGACAAAGTGAGTGTTTATCTGAGACAACAGATGTGGAAAGATGGCAGCAAAGTATGAGATAGATGTGCACCATTACCATCCATGTCCTACTTCCTTTAAAGCTAGGTTGCTGTCTAGATGTAATGGAAGAGTCTACCCTTGTAACAGTGCTCTTAATCTGTTCAATATTATATTTGGATGGGAGATTCAGACCTATGAATTTCCTTTTTGGTAGGCTATTGATGAGATGGACCCTAACCAGAAGTGCCATAATATAAACTTTGAGGTTAAAATACGATAGAGCCACAATGTGGGTCCCAATCTCTACCTGGTTCATGGATCTCCAACTCAGAGCCTGAAGCCTTCTAGGTTATTTGGCATTGTCTCTATGAATGTTTAGGAAAGCAATAGGAAGTGTCTCATTCATAACACAGCAGAACTACCACTGGAAGTGAGACAGCAGCTTAATAATCTTGACCACGCACCAAGGCTCCTCACTTACATAAGAAGAAAGTGTGGCTCTACATCTGGGTGCTGGTGCCTAATTTTTCAAGGTATAGTCATAGCTGTGCAATAATGTCTAGGGGTACTAAAGCCCTAGAATGTGTAATACTGAATGTGTAATGGGTGGCTCTTTCACAGAGCAACTAGAGGAAATTGAAAGTACTTCTCTCAATGCTTATACAAGACACATTCCTGGGTCATCACCCTGTACTGGGCGTATAAACCCTATCATGGCAGACCGTGGCACCACCCTGTGAGGGGCTTCCTTTTACCTGAGACAATTTAGGAGAGCAAGAAAGCAAGATTATCACAGTCTGAGTAAAATTTAGGTCTTCCTTTGCCATGTACTAGTACAGCAGCTCCTCCAGTTTATGGCTTGAGAAATATGATAATGCACAGCCCATTTTCTGAAAATCTTGGCTTTCTGGAGTTAAACTCTTGAGAATTTACATAATAAAATGGACTTCTGAGGGAGGTATGGTGAATTGATTTTGTCAAATCAGAACTGATGACTGCGGTAAAGACCAAGGAACTGATGAGTAGACTGATTCACTGAAACTTCTATGGGAGCGGATGGAGATTTCCCACATGTGCTCCAAATGGCTGCTCCTTTTGAGGAAACTGCAGGACAATGATTTTCCAAGGGTTCGAGGATCAGCCATTTTGCTTGCAATCCCAGCAGACGCTTTTAAAGGGCACTGAGTTCACAAACTTCATTTTTTTTAAAAAAAACTATATAGTGGTTGGGATGATAGAAATGTAATCCAGGGAAGGGTATACAGCATCCTAAACTACAAGGATTTGCATTTTAGAAGGATTCAGAAGGAGAAGCTGCATTGGCACCTTCTAAGTCTTGGCACCCTAGGCTTCTCAGCCTATCTCAGGGTTGGCCCTGAGTCAAACAGCGACAACTGAGTGGATTAGCTATAATACTTGCTTAGAAGATTTCAGGGTAAAGAACTTCACATTACATGGTCCTCATGATGATTTGAGTCAAGACCTCTGAATTATGTGGCAATGCTGAACACACGAAGAGCTGTTCTAGTGTGAAACCGTCCATGTGTTCAGCTGCATTCCTATGTTCAGCTGTGTTCTCTTCATAATTTGCATTTAGCTAATGCTTTAATAATATCTACTCTCTTATAAAGCATCTCACTACTTTAGATAGTTTGATGGAACCAGCAGGGTTTGGAGACAGCACAGAAGGTATTAAAAATGTTTGAAGTTATACATAGTGGAAATGCAGCACTGAAATGTCTCTGCTGTAAAACCCAAATGCTACTGCTAAATGTTTCAAAAGACAGAATAGGGGCAATGTCAATGCAATATTGATGTGTCTAATGCATCAAAGCAAACTTTAATTATGACGTTTGTGACTCTTTTCAAATAGGACATTGTATTTTGTATGTGAAAAAGTGAAGGGATGCATGCTAGCTTTTGAGTCATAAATAAATGATTGTAATAGAATCAAATATTAATTAATAAAGCCACAACAGATATGTAAATAAAATTAATTGATTTTGTTTTCCCTTTGTTTTTCCATTTCTTAATGCAGAAACTATATAAAACATCTTGGGAAGAAACACGGGCAGCTGGCTATGATTTCAGATTGGATGCCATCCCTTTCCAGACAGCTAAGGCATCTAGAGAAATTGCCAGTGATGTATGAAATATTTTGTTTTGTTTTGTTTTTTGCATTTAAAGGCCTTTATGCCCTGGCATATCATCCATGATTTTTTCTATACAGGTTCAAGGAAAGAACCTGTTTTTAGTGCCATAAGGATTCCACAAAAACAACAGCCCCATATATTAGATCCACTAATACTCCCATTGAACTGCATATGAAATAATTATGCAATTATGCATATGAAAAAAATTAATGTTCTGTGAGTTGGGCCTGTATTTTATTTCACATTAGTTTAAATGTATTTATTTATAAATGTATGTATTTATTCAGTCTATCATTCAGTCAATCAATCAAATGAAAACTGAGAAAGTTCAGGGAGAAATTAACTCTTCTTGCTGTTGTTCAGAGAGATGACATTAGGATACATGTGCTCTTCTTGTCAAAAGAAAAGACAATAATTTTGGTCCATTTTGTTCTATTTAGCGAACTTGTGAAGAGTTTTAAAAAATCAAAACTGATGGCTTAAGCTTTCACGGACTTAAAATATACCCACGAAACCTTGATTTCCCTTTCTTCTTTAACTTTTCCTAAAATTTGCGTAGTATTTGCGTGTACTGTAATATAATTAGGGAACAAAGGCAGAGAATGGTTCCTTGCTGAAAAAGATTGCTTATTCCTGCTATGCCTGTATGTGCTGCCAGCACTCTAGATGCTCTGATGAAGAGCTCATCCTAGCGTTTTATTTTAAATTGTGTAATTATGTGTGTAATTGTTGCTTTATACATATATTCTTCAATTACAATGAAATGTTCCCAATCTTAAAATAATTTCAGCAAAATAATTAGCATGCCATACCATGATTTTAGCATTGATGTACATGTACAGGCTACATGTAAAATGCTTATGGCATAATATGAAATTATGTGAAACTATGCTTCCATATGGTTGTATAATGACATAAACATCCCTATGTCTCAATATTTTTTTAGTTCAGATACAAAGAAGCTTTCCTAAGGGACAGAGGTCAACGGATTGGATTTTGCAATGCGCATGATGATCCTAAAATGAGACACTTCCTGAAGATGGGCCACCTCCAGAGTGACAACCAATATAAAAGAGATTATTTTAGAAACAGAGGACAATTCAGAAGTCAAACTGATCAGCCAGGATTTATTCATGCAAAGAAAAGTCAGCAATTAATAAGTGATGTCAACTATAGGCAGCGCCTACATCAATACACCTGTGACCCGGAGCAGCTGAATCTCAGGCATGCCAAACAAGCCTACAAACTCCAAAGTGATGTAAGTATGTTAGGATCTATGGCTAAGGAGCCCATTCTAGGCAAGGATATGTCTAATCAATGGACTCATTTTCAAATCCAAATTTAATGTATATATTAAGGAAGCAGCTTAGTCAGTTGTCTTTTGAAAAATCACCTTTGGGATGAAAGTTTAGATAGGAAATGCATTAAAAGATGCAGTCACTGGGAGATTTGTCCACAGAAATGTGATGTCATGCTGATGTGGGCAGTTTAGAGGAAAAAAGATTGTGGGAATAGCTCACTTGTGGAAGAGTCTGCGCGCGCATGTACACACCCACCCACCCACACCCACACAGAAACAGAGAGAGCACCTGATTTTGGAGAACAACTAAGGTGGCACAGAATAGCTTGCAGTACTCTGTCACCTATCCTTGCCTATCACACCTGCTTCCTGGGGTCGCCATTTTCTTTTATTGGCCTTTAGTATATATATGATTTGTTTCATTTGATTTTAAGTATTAAGTCTTGAAGATCCATGCAATTAGTACTGTATTTTATTTTCTAGGTCAAATACAAATCTGATTTGAATTGGATCAAAGGTATTGGCTGGACTCCTCCAGGTTCTTACAGAGTGGAAATGGCCAGAAGGGCTGCAGAGCTGGCATATGCTCGGGAAACAGAATGTCAAGAAACCCAAGAACAGCGTGATCCAGATTATGTAAGTGAATTGATAGATAACCTAAGCAATATTCATTATAATTTTAGAAATCAGGGGCAATAATTATAGTACCTCATAGTCAAGTCTCGGCTACAGATCCATTGTAGGCGTGAATGAGTTTTTAATGTTTTTAATGTTTTTAATTTTTAAATTTTTTTTATAATGATTTTTTAAATGTATTGTGAGCCGCCCTGAGTCTTTGGAGCGGGGCGGCATATAAATTGAATAAATTAAATTAAATTAAATTAAATTGTAAAAGAAACAGGAAGATGAATGGCAATGATATATAGGAATACAGGATCTGTTGGAACCAAGTCTGATCCCAGTATGCATCTGGATCATCCCCTAAACTATTATTGGAAACAAGACATCCGTGAACATCTCAGCATTTCAGCTGGTTTGGATCTAAACCACTATTTGAAAATCATTATTAGAGTCATGAAAATCTGTAGGTTATCAGTGGAAGAAATTTGGACTAACCAAACTATAAATCTATAGTAAAGAGTTTTATACAGTCAAAGTACACAATCCTAGAAAGATAGCTTTAGGACATTATTTCTGCTACTTGGAATATGATATATTGTTCAATATATTTGCTACAAATGGAATGACACAATAGTCTTTGTGAGGAGATAACATTCTGAATCTATTGCAATTGCAGGAGAAAATAACAGAAGGATCACAACAAGTCCAGCTGAATCCTGATGCAGCAGAAGTTCTGCAAATGAAGAGAAGAAAAATGAAACTAATTAAGAAATGAACAGAAATACTGACATCTGTCTAATGAAAATGCATATATTTTCCAGCTTTCTCTCCAAATCATGTAGCTATTCTAATCTCCCGAGAAGCAGAGTAGTGCACTGTTCAGAAATAGTTATTACAAAAAAAGACCTTTGCAAACCCTCAAGGAGTGATTTAATATTAAACTTTATATTTTTGCATGAAAAACTCTACCTGATTTTTTAAAGCTATGTATTATACAATATAGTATTTATGACAGCAAATTAGATTAGTACTAGATGACTGGCAGGCTCAGCTTTGTACTAAAAATATATGAACCATGATTTGCTGAAAGGAAAAAAATATATATTTGTACGGAAAATAAATCAGTGGAATCACTTTCCAAAAAGTCTACAGTTATTTTGTTGATTTGTTAATGATGTTCATTTCTGAATTCCTATGTGGCTAAATTAATTCATGCCAGTGGGCACTTTTGCCTCCTTTAAAAAAAAAAACCTGAGTAAAAGATAGAGAAGATTAGAAATACAGTGGCTAGAGGAAACAGTTTAATCTCCCATCTGTGCAGAAGTCAGTTTAAAACAAGATTCCATATCTTCCTTTACTGCAAGATGTTCATTATACAACATAGCATAACATATTGTTTGATCTTCAGCTGGCCTGATCATGTGAGATTACTGATATTGGAGGTTTATTGTCATTCAATCAATGCTTGTAGAAATGAATGAAAAGGACATTCAGGAGATTTGAAAGCAAATATAAATAGATTCTTCTGTGTCAAATGATGTGTGAATTCATACAACTTTTGATATTTATTTGCACTGCATACCTCCTGGTTTCTGAATGTAAATTCTAACTTCCCCGTTAAAAAACTGAGGTCTTCTGGGCAAACAATTCTCAATGCAACTACTTTTTATTATGAAGGTTATGACTGTGTTTTATAGCCTTAATATCTCAAATGATTAAAAATACAACAATAAAAAAGATCAGTTTTGTATATTACTTTAAGCAAAGGGTTGCATATTTACTTGGCCATTATATAAACAAGTGAGTTCTAGCCAAAATGCTATTAAGGTATTAGAGTTTTCATTTGCGGGTAGAAATTTGGCTAAAAATACTTCAGTGCTGAAATAGAAGAGAACATTTTTTCTGTTTTGATAACTACCATTCTTAGTTGTGAAAATTAGACTCGCGTGTAATTTTTGTTCTAATCCAGTTGAGAAATGTTGTCACTCGAGTATAAACTCCTGGTTTATTTTTTAATCCACACTGATCTCCCCAGCTCACAATTCCATAAATATAGTAAGTGTCATTGGTAACACATGTTAGGGGACCTCCTGAATCGCCCTAATGTAAAAGATAAAAAAGACAATTAACATTGACAACAATTAAAAAACAATTAATACTAACATTTTATACTTGATCCTGAAGAATTACATTAATGGTAAAGAAATAGGATCTTGGATTAAATAAATTCATGATTTTTTTTCTGAAATGTAAATCATTACATTCAAAAGTGATGGTTTTAAAAGCAAAGTATCAATTTAGATTTAGAAGGTTATCTGGGACTAAAATTAAATATAAAGAAGACCAACTTGGATGGTGCTAGACTTCCAGAAGCAGAGAGAGAAACCTGCCGCACTCTACATCAAGCGGGGCTGTGTGGAGAGCGTTTCCTCTTTCAAATTCCTGGGAGTCCACCTTAGCCAAGATCTCACCTGGAAAAATAACACGTTCCAGGTGGTCAGGAAGGCTCAACAGAGACTCCATTTCCTTAGGGTCTTGCGAAAAAATCTGGTGGAACAACGACTGATGAGTTCCTTTTACTGGTCTACGATAGAAAGTTTCCTCACATATTGTGTTATGGTATGGTATGCTGGCTTGACAGCCGCAGACAAAAAGGCATTACAGAGAGTGATGAGCACAGTACAATAAATCATGGGCTATCCCCTGACCTCACTGGATGAAATCGCCAGGACCCGCTGCCTTAGCAGAGTGAGGAAAATCCTCAGGGATGATTTAGGACCTGGGTACCTACGAGACCGTCTTTTGCCACCCACCGACCAGTTCGTTCTCACAGGGAGGGACTACTCAGGGTACCGTCAGTCAAATTATGTCGACTGGCGACTCCCAGGGGGAGGGCCTTCTCTGTGGGGGCTCCAACCCTTTGGAATGAACTGCCCCCGGAGATACGGAATATCCCTGATCTCCGTGCTTTCCGCCGTGCCCTCAAGACCCTGATGTTCCAACAGGCGGGGCTAAACATACGAACATGTGAATGATTTTTTAAATGTTATCTAATTCTGGGTTTTATTTAATTGACCAAACTAAGTAATAATTTTAATTAGCAATTTTATGATGTTTGTGTGTCTATATTTTTCTTGACTGTACACCGCCTTGAGTCCTACGGGAGAAAGGCGGTATAGAAATATAATAAATAAATAAAATAAATAAATAAATAAATAAATTTACACCCTGTTCAGCAGTTCTTTACTCTCCTACCATTGAATAGGAGATACAGAAGCATAGCCAGCCGAAGGAATAGATTGAAAAATAGCTTTTATCCATGGGCTGTCAGACTTCTGAATGCAACATAACACCACATTTAGGTTTAATATGATGGACTGGCAGGGCCAGCACAACATGCAACATGTTCATACCGGTATAACGTAATATGAGGTTATATACATATATGTATATGGGAATGTGTGCCAGTTATTACTTATTTGAGTTTAGGGATTTCCTTTTATTTATTGAGTTATTGTGATGTATTCTGTGTTTCGGGGGGGGGGAGTTCTCCAAGGGAGGCTCATTCAATCTCATTGTAGACATGGTGTGCATTGACAATAAAGGTTTGATTTTATTTTGATTTGAACTGGCCAAAGAACTGACAATGAAAATATAAAAATTGTATGTAGCCTTTTAGAATCAGCCATTAAGTATAAAAGAACAAGCACAGATAGTCCTCAATTTACGACCACAATTGAGCCCAAAATTTCTGTTGCCAAGAGAGACATTTGTTAAATGTGTTTTGCCCTATTTTATGACCTTTCTTGCCATAGTTATTAAGTGAATCACTGCAATTGTTAAGTTAGTAACACAGTTGTTAAAGGAATACAACTTCCCCATTGAGTTTGCTTGTTGGAAGGTCATAAAAGGTGATCACCTGACCTTGGGACCCAGCAACAGTCATAAGTACAAGCCAGTTACCAAGCATCTGAATTTTGATCACATCACCATAGGGATGTTGTAATGGTTGTAAGTCTGAAAAACTTTGAACAGTCATTAAATGAACTTTTGTAAGTTCATGACTACCAGTATATGCTTTTGATATTATGCTGAAAGGAAGGAAGGTGGGGGATATTATCTGATATATATATATTTTTTTTAATTTGATTTATATGCCGCCCTTCTCCGAAGACTCAGGGCGGCTTACAATGTGCTCAGCAATAGCCTTCATCCTTTTGTATATTTATACAAAGTCAGCTTATTGCCCCCACAAACTGGGTCCTCATTTCACCTACCTTAGAAAGGATGGAAGGCTGAGTCAACCTTGAGCCTTGGCGAGATTCGAACCCTGCAGTAATTGCAGGCAGCTGGTCTTAAGCAGCTTAATAACAGGGTGCCTTAAACCCTAGTACTACCAAGGCTCTTTTATATAATGAGTAGGTACATATGTAGCACCTTGCTAATCTTTACCATGTATAGTCTGTTTACATTTGGTTTGAAGAGAAATCAGTGTTCAAATACAAAAAGCAACAAACCTGACAAGTATCTGCTCTTGTTCTCTGAAGACTTCCAGCACAAAACATGTTTTCCACCACTCTGGTATTATACGCATTTGGTGCATTACACTGCCTTTGGGAAATCAGCTTTACTTTGGCATCCAATAGCTGATGAGATGATTCACCTATAGAATGAATGCCAGAAACACAAAGAACTCTTATTTCCCATCTTGTATTTTCCGTTTTGTGACTGGGTTAAGAAATGATTGTTAATGTTGTAATGTTGTAATGTTACAACAGAAGAAAGAAAAAGAAAGAAAGAAAGAAAAGAGAGAAAGAAAGAAGGAAGGGATTTTTATATTTATCCTATCTATCTATCTATCTATCTATCTATCTATCTATCTATCTATCTATCTATCTATCTATCATCTGTTTATATATATATATATATATATATATATTCATTTTAAAAGCATAGCTATTGCGTTTGAAGCTACATATTAGGTCAACAAGACATTAAAATTTCTAGCCTGTTAAACTATCAAGATAAAAAATAGGACAAATTAAGTCAAATTGTATCGATTCATTACATTAATGAAGACAGAAAACAGCGTGCTATATTGCAGCACACCTGATGTCTATTGGAAGACACTAAAGCAGCTCTCTGAAACTTCAAGTGACTGCAGCTATTTTGGAGCTTATAAATGAAAATGCAGAGGGAGCCTTTGTTCATAGAGAAGATCCTTGTAACAAATATGAGTTCAGATCCTGTCTGTATATTAGTTCGAATTAATTGCTCCCATCGCCATGGCTTACTTATTTCTGTTTCTCCCCAGCCTGATATGTAACATTCTGTGTTATCAGGGAACGTAAAATCAGGCAAGCACACAGATTTAACATAACTTGTTTCCACAGCACAGTGCCCATCAATTGGCTTTAATTTCAACAAAGCTGTAAAAAGAGAACAAAACACAGTATTTTAAGGCACGGTTAATTATAAAGCCACTGAATTACACCATAGCCTTAAATTTGCTGATGAGATTTCTTCTAATTTCTCTGGGTCAGAGCTGAGTATTTGCTAATTTTTTCTAGATATTTCCTATCTATTTCATTAGCATGGTTTTTATTTGCTTAAATTAATGAAGTCATCTCTACACTTAACTTCTAACTTTGGTTAGAAGATTTATTTAGAAAAATAAAGCAGTAAAAGCAATAAATATATCTATACTAAAAAACATAACATTATTTTCTAAACTTTTGGAGATGAATTTGCTAGCTCTCTTTATTGTAACTTAATTACAGTTTAGTCTTGTCTTCTCAATATTTAACCTGCATCAGTGTTCTTAAGGTTCAACTAACGTTTCCTTCTTTCCATTCCTAGTGGTAATGATTGGGATTTATTCATGACATAAAATAGAAACTTGCCAATATCATTGTATGGGATGCCATCCTGCTCTGTATAGTGTCCATGTTTAATGATCTTGTCTACATCAAACTTTTGTTCATGATGCTCTTTCCTATTGAGATTTTGTTCTCCAAGGGACACCTGGAGGTTGTGTGCTTCTGTCCTATGAAAGAAAGTAGCCCATTCTAAAAGAACAATCAGTCATAATTATAGAACTCTAAGTTACAGAGAACTGCACCAATTTCATCTGAATTAATCATACAAATTGTTTCTAGTAGATTAACCCATACTAAGAAGAGTGTATTCTCTGTTTTATACAATCATACAATAACAAAAGCATTATAAAAATAACTCTACAGGTTGCCAAATTATAAAATAATAGAGTTTAAAGATAAGACTAGGCCAAACACATTAGCTCAGAAGCAAAAGACAAAGTTGGTATTTTTCTGAATTTTATACAGCTGCCATGACTTGTGCATTAGCATTAGAATTCTATATAAAAGAAACAAGACTATGTGTCAGATGAAAAGACATGGCACAATTCTATTTATTCTACAACATGACATGGCTACTTTCCCCACCTGACTTTTGCTATCCAAAATTGTGCACTTTAGACTCTTCTATCTACTGGATGAATGAAATCAAAGTTAGGGGTTTTGTTTTGTTTCTTTGCATTTGTAGAAAATGAAAAGAAAATTAACTGAATCCAGCAAGTATGCTTACATGATACAGTGTGCTGCGGTAAGAACCCAGCATGGCTCAATCAATACTCCTCCACAATAATGTCCCTTTGGTACACCTGCTGAAATCTTCCTCTGAAGAGATGCTTGCCATGGATGTTTGCCAGGAAGTGACTTGACACCTCCATAGATTCTCTTGAATGGTCTTATTATTTCTGGTTTCCCACATGTTCTGTATGTATTACTTATTACTGGATTCTTGAAGGAGGTTGTTATATTTCTAGAGAATTTTGCTGCAATGTAAAGAATGTAATTGAGATTCTATTATTTAGGTCAAGCCATAGAGATCAGTTGTGTTACTTCTGTCTCTCCAATGTAGCAGTGTCCCTGCCCAAGCTCCTTGATTCTGTGGCTGGTTTGGCAAAGACAATTTCCACGCACAGAGATGGCTCAGGAATTCATGGCTATCATGGGAACCATGGACCTGATCCAACTTTTCAAAGATCCAACTCCACTGTGGAGAGCTGATCTTTGCCTGAGGACAGTGCTATTGGGATCTGGTTTGGGAAACATTAACATCAGCCCTTTGCCATGGACAGATCACTCCCTTTTGATTCTTGAGTTCTCCATACTAATCTCTCACTGCAGGGAGGTAGGGCCTATCATCCCATACCAATTCCCAGAAAGATTTTGTGTTTTTTTTCCTAGAAGCTGTGAAGCAGGGGTGAAATCCAGCAGGTTCTGACAGGTTCTGGAGAACCGGTAGCAGAAATTTTGAGTGGTTCGGAGAACCGGTAGCAGAAATTTTGAGTGGTTCGGAGAACTGGCAAATACCACTTCTGGCTGGACGCAGAGTGGGATGGGAATGGAGATTTTGCAATATCCTTCCCCCAGGAGTGGGAAAGGAATGGGGATTTTGCAGTATTCTTCCCCTGGAGTGGGGTGGGAATGAGATTTTGCAGTATCCTTTCCCTGCCATGCCCACCAAGCCATGCCCACCAAGCCACACCATGCCCACCAAGCCATGCTCACAGAACCGGTAGTAAAAAAATTTGGATTTCACCACTACGCTGAAGCATAGTGCAGTTGAGTCATTTGTTGTGGCTTGAAATAAGCATGTCATGTGGGGTCTGGATTGAATTAGATCAATATGATCTTGATTTACTGAGAAGCTGTATGAGAGGAAATGACACAAGAGACTGTGGCAAGAGCTGAAGGACAAAATGCCACAAGCCCAGGAAATGGTCACAAAAAAAGGAAGCTTAGCCCAGAGAAGACTTGCAAAATTGTGTTAAAGTAAATTTACAATAAAGCAGAATTAATTCATCTGGGCATGCATCCTTTTTGAATGTCCATTAAATGTTGCCTTGTCAAAGGACTTAGGCAACACCTCTTCTTGATAGTGGCTTCTGACCTTTGGAACATCTTCTCACCTGAGATCCAGGAGACCCTGACCTTCCTGATCTTTCAAAAAACCCTGGTTTTTCCCATAAGCATTGGGGCAGTGTATGGCTGATGTCCAGAAAAGTTGTTTATTGTTGTTTTGGGGGAACTGGGAACTTTTAATATTGATTTTATACTTTTTAATGTTTAGTTACTGTTTCTATGCTGCTCGGGGTTATAACATAAGATGGGTGGTTGTATAACTCTTTTAAATTAATAAATAAACAATATTTGGACTTTCTAAGTGCCGTCTATTTCTATTCTTAGAAATAATATTATAGCATCACAAATATGGTATTAACAAATGTTGGCTTTGGAGGATCATTAACAAAATGATGACTGGCTTAACTTGGATATGTCTTACATTCATCAATTGGTCCTAAAATGTGAACAATAATAGCTAAGGAATATATTACAGTTATGTAAAGCACTAAAACCCTTTTCTGATTACAGTGGATAGAAATATGTTAAATAAATAAATAAAATTACATAAAATCTTAGCTTTAAAAACCCAGGCAGTCAGTATCTAAGAATTGTAGATAGGTTTAGATTACCCATGTCTCATTGGGTCATTGTTTCAGAGATATTTGCTTACCAAAACAGACAAGCAGAATGACCATTGGTGAACAAAGAGAAGTGAGAGCAACTTATTTCTTATCTGCTTCCCCATTGAGTTTCCTCCCTCCCTCATTTTTCCTTCCTTCTCTCTCTCACACTCTCGCCCTTCTTTTCTTCCCTAGAATTCCTGTCAGCTTTCCTATTTACTTTGCTTGTTTAAAACTTGTAAGAAGAAAGTCAGTTGGGAAAGCTAGCAGGAAGTTGCAAGTCCAAGTCGAGCAGGCAGGTAAATGGCTGCTGTCAGATGGGGTCCAAATGGTATGTGGGCTGTGGAAGAGGTCCTGAAGGGTTAGGAAAGGTATGCACTCAAGACGCATCTGAGTGGGTGACATAGGTTGAAAAGGGTGACTGAAAGTGGATGACAGGTGTTGTGCAATTGGGTATGTAGAAGGATGGAAGAGATCCAGAAGGCTATGTTGGAGCCATGGGAATGTATAAGAGGTGTTTAATAGTTGAGGATGGTGCATGGAGAGAGGGATGGGAAAAATGCCTTTAGTTGTTTGGGAATACGCAAACGGTACTGTGCAGGTCAGGAAAGGTGGGGTTCAGGATTCAGATTAGAAAGGGTTCTTGGGTGAGCCCTAATGGTGCTGAATGGGTTAGGGAAGACATGTAGGAGGGGTTGTGGAAATATGATAGAGATATTGCACAGGTCAAGGAAGGCATTGGTGTGGATCAGAAAGGTATGTGTGTGTATGGGGGTGCAGATCAGGAAGGGTCTGTGCAAGAGGTGGGTTGAAAAAGCTGTATGGGGAGGCAATGTAGTGGCATAGGTCAGTGGAATGCACAAAAGAGTAGATGGACTAGGAAGGGTGCATAGAGGATTCTTTCTCCTTTTCTTCCCTTCTTCCCTTCTTCCCTTCCTTCCTTCCTTCCTTCCTTCCTTCCTTCCTTCCTTCCTTCCTGACATAGGTTGAAAAGGGTGACTGAAAGTGGATGACAGGTGTTGTGCAATTGGGTATGTAGAAGGATGGAAGAGATCCAGAAGGCTATGTTGGAGCCATGGGAATGTATAAGAGGTGTTTAATAGTTGAGGATGGTGCATGGAAAGAGGGATGGGAAAAATGCCTTTAGTTGTTTGGGAATACGCAAACGGTACTGTGCAGGTCAGGAAAGGTGGGGTTCAGGATTCAGATTAGAAAGGGTTCTTGGGTGAGCCCTAATGGTGCTGAATGGGTTAGGGAAGACATGTAGGAGGGGTTGTGGAAATATGATAGAGATATTGCACAGGTCAAGGAAGGCATTGGTGTGGATCAGAAAGGTATGTGTGTGTATGGGGGTGCAGATCAGGAAGGGTCTGTGCAAGAGGTGGGTTGAAAAAGCTGTATGGGGAGGCAATGTAGTGGCTGGCATAGGTCAGTGGAATGCACAAAAGAGTAGATGGACTAGGAAGGGTGCATAGAGGATTCTTTCTCCTTTTCTTCCCTTCTTCCCTTCCTTCCTTCCTTCCTTCCTTCTCCTTCCTTCCTTCCTTCCTTCCTTCCTTCCTTCCTTCCTTCCTTCCTTCCTCCCTTCCTCCCTCCCTCCCTCCCTCCCTCCCTCCCTCCCTTCCACAGCAACAGCACAGTTCTGGATTTTGGTCACATTCTGTAATTTAGCCATTTGAAGAAACTTGGTTAACAAATTGTCACCCTGTAATGTGCCATTTTGACCAGTTAAAGACAACAATATTTTTAATAGCATTAGTTAAAGCCTTTTTATCTATAACTCTCATCTGGATTTTTCAGTCACGCTCTGGGAAGTCTACTACAATGGATTTCAACATATTCTGGTACACAACTGATTTGGCCCAAAGGGAAATAATTTGTTCTTCCTATATTCCTAAAATATTCTTCAAAATCTTCTGCTTAGAAATAGTTCCATGCAAAAAAAAAAAAAGAGTACTACAGCATCAAATAATCAAAGAAAGCCCCCTTAATTGCATTGTAAGAATCATGCAGAAAATGTTTTCTACATTGTGTAATTCATTTATTTTCTTTTTTTCCTGTTTTAAATTTCATCTTCTTTAATATCTCTTAGTAATAGACATCTCAAGCTATTTTGTTTATTTGGTATACTTTTTGATGCTCTACAAATGAGAAATCTTCCAGTATCATTAAAGTCTTGGGCATCGTGCTCTTGAGGTAGATGGATTACACGAAATCTACAGTGATTGCCAATCTAAATTAATGCCATACTAAATTACACTGAATATACACCATGTTATTTTTTTATTTTTTATTATTTATTCTACCTGTTGACAAGCATGGGGGGACATCACAGAAATCCCACTTCAATTTGTTATTCACATTGACAAAGCACCAGGGTTTGTCATCACCATCTGGATTCCTAAAAGAGAGAAGTTTCAAGATTCACCTGTCAGAAGAATGGATCTTCAGAAAAGAAGTTATTAATTGAAGAACTGATAAACAGTGGAACTGAACAATGTTCACACTGAAATATCAAGTCACTCAGAAACCAAGAAGACAAACTTGAATAATAATGGTATCTTCTCAGTTTATAATACTTACCCGCTAATAATACTGTGCCAATGCCTAAGCTTAATTTTTATGCTTTTGTAGACATGCTGTCAGCATTCATTGTTTAGGAAAGTATTTGGGTATAAAAAGCATAATCCAAAGTAGCAATTATTTCTGATCTTTTTCTGTAAATAAGAATGAATTAATTGTACTAATTGATTGTACTGTTATTTCATCACTGCTAACAGGAACAACCTAACCTGCATTATACTGACATAGGAGTACACAATTTGATGTCAAGGAATCCTCACTTGTCAGTCATCAGGTTCTTTTGGCGCCTCAGTTGATTTTAAATGAAATTGCAAACTGGCAGGCTTAGCATATCTTCTTAAATTTAAAAATGGTAACATCGTCTAGGAAAAGGAGATGGGAAAGATGGAGAGCATTCCAGGACTAGAAAGTGGTAATGAGTCTGTCATCTTATAAGTGAATACTTTATGACTTGTTTTTTTGGGCAAGAAAGCTTTATTAATGGCTGAATTGAAGATGTCCTCAGAACACAGCCAATGACTATTCATTATTTAGTAATATTTGATTTGAAATGGGATATAAATAAGAATGATATTCTTGGAATTGGGCTTTCTTGTATACATGGATTACCTGCAGAAGTTATGATCGCCAAGGCCATAATAGTCAGCATGTTCCATAAATGCGTTATAACTACTGTCCAAAAGAAAATGAGAATTCCAGTGAAGGCATCTTTTCTGGAGGATTGTCTGGCTAACATTTCCTCTGTATGTGTGGCCATTTTCTTCAAAGCAGTCTTCAGTCCCTACAACAAGATTGTCATGTTTTGAAAGATCTTTTTGTTTTAGTTTGGCCTGTTCTGGCATTTTTTTCCTCCTCTTTATTCTTAGATACATGAACCCACATAGAATCTGAGAACGATGTTTCGCAAGAATCTGCATTCCAGCAAGTTTAGATTTTATTAAAAAATAACCAAGTTGGATATTCTTTTTACATCATGATGATCAAAATGGGGCTCAAATAAGTTTTATCTGTAAATGTCTACAATACAAAGAATATTAATCAGTTTTTCATAAATTACTAACATAATTAAAAAGATCAAAGGTTAATTTATCCACCTATAGTAGTCACACTACCATTGCAAAACACAGAGAATTCTCTTACCTAGTTCACAAAATTTTCCTCTGAAACCTTCAGGGCAGTTGCAGCTGAATTTATACCTTAAACGATGCCTCTGACAGGTGCCTCCATTTTTACAAGGATTTGGTTGACAAGCCGAGGATGCTAATATTCAAGAATTAATTAGAATATTGTATTTAAATGAGATTGTTCAAACAATGTAAGAAGCTATTCATTCAATGACACTTTTTATCCACACAAACAAAAAGATAAGTGGAATTACTTCTAAAACCTCCTAAATAACTTTGCTCTGTCTATGGGCTCACTTGTACTTAAAATAACTCCATGCAGGCTATCTTGAGGAAAACTTTTCATACGCAAGCACATAGAAGGATAAGTGGATTTAATATGGGAAAATCCAAAGTCTCCCCAATCTAAAGTCTATAGGTCCATTAAATAACTTTATGCAGGCTGTCCTGACCATTGTTTGCATTTAAGAAATGAGTTAAGAAACAACTTTAGAGTGACAAGTTTTAGATTTTAGATGATAATTTAGAGCAGAAGTGTGAAACTTGTGTCATCACAGCTGCATCATGTGACGTATCATGACTTTTTCCTCCTTCAGTAAACTGGGTGTTGGCGTGGCCAGCCCATGACTCTTCTGGCCCGTGGGCCACGAGTTTGACAGCCCTAATTTAGATAAAAACAGTTGTGATTCTAATCCATAGAACACAGCAGCAGTAGACATAATGCTAGAAATTGGTTACTAGTATGACAACAATAATTTGTCTCACCTTTTCTACATGATGGTGGTTTATATGGGTATTTACAACTGCATTGATAATAAGGTGCTCTTAACATAATCAGACATTCTCCTCGATTGCAGTTGATTCTTCGGCATGTATTTTTCACTATGGTATACAATAACAGTAAAAAGAACAAGAAAGTTAGGTAGATTTTTCAAATTTTGGATATTTGCTAAAAACAGACTTTATGTAGTACAAGGATTGACAATGGAGATACACAAATGTGCAATTTCATTTTAATTCCTGGTGAAAATTACAGTTACAGAGTTGTAAAACAGTAAATAATCATACAATTCCTACTCTTTCATTCCCCTGTACATATGAAAATGCTCATAAACTTGGGGGCGGGGGAAAGCAATATTACAGCACTATAAATACCAATATTCAGTTGTATGTTAAATATCTACACATAAATAATATGAATTTGTACGCCTTATCTTCATATTATAACAAAATTACTATATATAATAAAATTATTATCCATCATTAAGTTGCAATGGTGTTTGAAACAGTATCTCAAAACAATATGGAAAAAAAAATATTTTAAATTGGGAAGTCCCAGAATTCCAAGCTAGGATGGTCAAGGCCTAGAATCTGCAATATAAGAACATTTAGTGGCAAGAAAAGCTAGACGCAGCTATTTCATAATCAAGGAATTAATTTTGTTTTTATTTATATTATTATTTAGTTATTTTGACTAGTGAAATTTTATGCTCAAAATTATGCAGAGATTACTGCTCGGACAGTCATGATCATTTACAATTTTTCTGGCATTACAGGTCAAAGGTGAGCATGATGGAAATATATAGGTATCATTACCTAAGCAAAAGAAACTAAAACATTTTTTTAAAATCCCAGAACAAGATAATATTCAGAAGTGAATCAGGTAGATGCTTCCTAATTAATTGAACTATAAGAAGGTAAAGGATGTACAGCATAATCAGATTTGAAAGGTTTTGTTACTATAGCTAATCTCAATAAAAGTAGTTTCAGATAAACTGAATTTGATTTCATGCTCTGTCTACCTAGTGGGACTGAGATTGGGTTGTTATAATTTGCACATATAAATGGCCTTATTCTACTACAATTCAATGGACTGATTTTGAAAAATCCCATTATAAGCAGTCAAATGCTTTACACAGATGTCAAATGTAAATAATGGAAGTAAATGTAACTATTAAAATATGTTTAATAGCTTTGTGTTTAAAAACTACTTAATTTAATAATGTACTGACTGGGAATCCTTAGTTTGCACATAGTCTGACTTTTTAAATAAACACATTTAACTATTATTATAGCTACAATATCTAAAATATCATGCCTTCATTTAGTAAACAACTGATTTATATGACTGCACTGTATTGGGTACCACTATGACTATAGAGTCTTTTCATGTTTTATGAATGGGTTCATAAATTCATACATACAATTAAATAATTTTATGAAATATCTTCCTTAAAGAAAGACTTGATGAATTTTCCCCACTTGATGAAACTGTTACATTCTCATAATTAATTATGTTAATATACAGTATTTATTTCTTATATCTATTTTGAGCCAATATATATGTACTTCATTTACTGGATTAGTTTCTATTTTATTTCACTAATTATCAATAAGTTCTATGGTGCACCTATATTTGTAACATTTAGCAAGTTCTTGAATAATTTCTGTAGTGCTCCATTATCATTTTGATTTGACTAACATTGGCTAATATTATGAATGCAATATTTTATACAATTATATTCAGCTATTTGGTTTAAAGCAATTCTTTACAAAATATTCAATTTTAAATGTTATTTAATATCTTTACTGCTATAGTTATATGAGATTGCTATTAACTGTATTTAACTTAAACTGAAGATATTCAGTCTAATAACTGAAGATATTCGTATTTATCCTCTACATTTAGCCATTGTTCTATTGGAATATCAGAAGACTTCCAAACATAAATGTTCCAGCCACACCTAATGATTGCTTAGTGGATTTATATTGCTTACTTTTATGTACTTTATTCATTTTCTCCCCAAATGATTCTGAAATGTAATGAGAACTAAGTAAAATGATCACAATTGTTTTCTAACTATTGAGTTATTGTTTTATGCTTGGATAATTGTAGTAAGTTCTTATATTTTCCTTCTGCTGCATTCCAAACTTTTTTTTTTTGTTATTGGTAAAATAAAAATCAGACCTGAAGCTACTATTTTATATTCTATTGTGTTCTATTTCAGCACTAAAAGTTTTTCTCAACTATCGCTCCTATGTTCCATTGTTATTATACTCCATGCCTCAAAATAGAAAATGACAATCTTTTGAACACACTAGGATATTTTCTGTTCTTGTGAGTATATTTTACTTCTAACTCTAGGCAATTAATTTTGGCTTTTTTCCCCCCTTGCGGTAAACTAATTTTCCTTATCATCTATGCTTGATGCTTGAATTTGTCTTGGTTTTCAGAATTCTTGTATGAAAAATATGTATATATGAATCTTAGCATACAAAATGAGACTATTCCATTCATGTGAGGATCGCACTTTTGCATATGTTTGAATTCTCCTTGTCCAGAATTTGTTTTTTTTAAAGAAAGAAATATATTCAACAAAAATATGCATACAATGTCTTGTGTGTATTCATGATTGAAAATGATCATGAATTCTAATGGGACAATCCAATTAAAGTGAAAAAGTAATATAGAAATTAAAATTATAGTTTTAAACTGGAAAGTCCTTGCAAATTTCCAGCTGACTTTTAGAATGCAATGTAAATAAATATATTTTATATATTGTAAACTATATTATTTATAATAGTATCTACATTTTTCAGCTTTATGTAACAGTAGTGACAATATCAAGATGTTTCTTACCACGGTCACACTTTGATCCTGTGTATGGTTCAGGGCAGGAACACATATAGCTGTTTCTGTTTCTTTTACAGATACCATTATTCTGGCATGGGTTTGTCTGGCAGGGATTTACTAGCACAGAGAAATAAATTTGAAGTTTAATTGTTTTAATTTTTTAACCTTTATCAATTTTTATTGAAAGGTTTTTCATCCAGAACACTGATGTTTGCTTGCAATGGCAGATTTATAAAGTGGTAGAGAGTTTTCAATTTTCCCCAGTTCTACATTTAGCTAAAGATTGGATTCCTTTCTTTCCCTTCCCATATTCTGTTTCTCCATCTTATAATGAATATAACAAAGTACCATCATGAGTGAAGAATTCATAAATCCAATCAGAGTCAAAGAAACTAAATCTGATTTCAGTCTCCGTTGGCTCTATATAATCAGTACTGTATTCATCGTCATAGTCATCAGTAGGGTCTGCAGATATATCAGAAAAAAAACAGACTATAACATGTATGAAAAGTAGCATTTCAAAGTTGTTTAGTGTAGCAAATATGTATTGATCTGGTGAAATTAAACTAGACAACATTATAGAATAAAAATTGTGATTATCAGCACATTCCTATTCCTTTGCGTAATGTACTGCAGAAAACAAAACAGCATGGGGGCATATTTTGAGCCCTTAGAAGGAAGATGGGATATAAATATAATAAATAAATAACTTCAACTAAGAAATGAAATGTCAAATAACTATCATCTCTGAAGATGTGGTCTGGATCATTAATTGATCGTTAATTCTTTTTCACAACAATTTTTAGAAAGAGTTGAAATCTTAGGCAATGACTTGGCATAGATTGTTTCATGCTGTATAATATTTTGAAGGTATGGTTGCAATCCTATTATATATTTACAAAAAAAATTATACAGTACTGTAAAAGGCATGAGCCTAATATGCTGTACTCCTTGAATAACTAGTCATATTGTTATGGAAGTTATATTTAATTATTGTCTTTGCAGATAGATGAAAAATCTGATATTATATAACAAGATAAATAACAAAAACTTTAATGCACCAGCTTCCTTGCTGGAATATTTTGTATTCATATTTTGAATTGTGATTCTCTTTTAATCAGTCTTGTGTGCTCATTGAAGCTCACATTATATTATGGACAGAATAGTAAACTGGATTGTCCAATAGAAAAAAAATATTCTTGATGAAGAATGTGCATGGTTTTCATTTCAACTTGAGAATAGTTCTCGGTGTTAAGTTCATGTGAATGTATACATCTTTTCCCACACACATATATAGGCATTAGATGCATTTGCCAATTGATCTTCTAAAATCTTTGTTACTATATCTCAGATATATAAAAAAACTTGTACAGAAAAAACTCATAATGACATTTCACCACATATGGGAAAATGTTTAAAATTTCTTTTAAAAAATTAGATTAGTATATATTTTTGTAGGAATAATACATAGTCTATTTTGGGACGTAGTCTGTATTCTAAACATAGTCAATGACAATTATTTTGTTTATTGTTACACTTCAGGCTGTATCTCAACTTTTAATCCAAACTGGCATTGTTCAAAACCTTTTATAGGACAGTTTATTTTTCCCCTTGATATCTATGGACTACTCCTATATAATACTGTGATGTGCTTGCAACATTTGTTAGGTCTTCGAGGTAGGAGAAATGCCTTGTTAAAAGTAAATAGAGTGCTTCAAAATCCCGATTCCATTCAGAGCGCTGCTGGAATCATTTCATCACAATCAAACTAGTACTGGATAAAGTACAGGTAATTATTCTGGTGTTAGTAGCCGTATAAGAGAAGGGACATATTCATGAACAAAGGAAACAAGTAGGAGATTCTTCTTAACTTTGATCATGGTGCCACATTTCCAGTGCACAGAAACAGATCTTTGTTCATAGCAATGGCTCTCAGGATACCCATTGACAAATAGCTTTCTGAATAGCAAAGTAAAGATGGGACACAGTTCTTTCCATAGACTTTTCACAGAAGTAGTTGATTAAGATGGGTCATCCGCTCTTTCCGGCAGGTGTCAGTGTAGTTTGTTGGAACCACTGGTGAGTTTCAAAGAGCAGGTATGGTAATGAGGAGAGTGAAAATGCATACAGGGATACTTTTAAAAGCTCTCCCCTAGGGCTGGGCCGATGGCCTGGTGAACAATGTGTCGCCTTGAACTGCTTATCAACGGCATTATCTTAGTTTTCTCAACTCATTCATTCGATTGCTGCCTTTATCTTTGTTCTTCCTTTGCTTCTGATGAAAAACACTTTTTTGTACAATGAATGCTTTATATTCCATATTAAAATAGAAACTTCTTTTTTCTATGGACCAAAACTGGTTCCTTGACGGTAAAAAAAAAAGTTTCACCTCATTTATCGTTATGTCAAGTCAAGACTTCTTTTATTCACTCATTATTTCTCAAGAGCCAAGTCTTTGCAATATGAAAGTGCTGTAGGACTGCACACCAGGCTGAGGGATAAGAAACTCATTCCAAGATAGGGCCATTGTCTCCACGGAGCAAATAAAGTTTAATGCAAGGTAATGAAAAAGGAAAGGAATTCATATTTCAACCTGACAGTATGTGGGATTATTTTGCAAAAGTTAGAATGTCTCTGTTTATTTATTAAACTTTGTAGTACTAAAGGTGTCTTTGGCTTTTTATGTACTTTTCCCACTTCTGTGTCAAATACTGTATAAAAGGAATAAAGAGTTCCCCCCCTTTTTCTAAACAATAGAATCCATTTTGGTTGTATGGGAACCATCTTTATAGTTTCTCAATACTCCCTCATGCCCATGGATGTCTTCTTATGATTATGGTTAGCTCAGTTTGTTCATTGTTCCTAATCAAGTATTAGGAATCAGGTAACATTATGTGAACCAGCAAGATCTATTCAAAACATCTCTTTCAAGATAGCTTGCATCTGTTATTCCTTTTGCTATTGATGCTCATTTTTATGACCATTTTTTAGTCATTTGATTTAGACTTTTTAGACTTTTTTCAAAGCCTGCTTAAGACAAAATGTCTGCTATGTTTGCTCCAGCATTTATGTGGAAATAATAGAAGTTGGATTGTTATACTGTCCTACCTGATCATAACTGATCAGTTATACAATCTTCATCAACCACTTGGTATACAGATATGTACATGATTATAAATTTGACCCCATATGCAATATCTATCTTGATTAAAGGATTGATCATATGCAGCATTATACTTTTTCAGGATTTGGCAACATAAAAAAGGAATCATCTAGTGTGAAAAATAAAACTAACCTCTGTATCTATTATACAAATCTTTGTAAGATACAACTAGTAATTTAATCATCATATCCATGCAATACTTTCTTCCAGACCATGTTGTGTAGAACGATAAAAATTACTTCCACATCTATTAGAAGAGTAGCCAGACCCAAAGCTTACCATGCATTCTCAGGTGCCATATGGAATGATTGCAAAAATATCTAGTTGGCAGTCATAAAATTTCTATCAACTCTGAATCCAAGTGAAGATTAAACATCAGTAGGGATTTTGCTGGCCAGAAATCTAGAAAAATCCTAATATAGGATTTATATAATATCATTATATCTACTTGCCATATTTCCTTCTTTATTTGAGAAAACTGTGACCTAAATATGAATGTATGTAGTTTCAAAATGGATTTTGCCTGGTATCTGATATTTCTAGCAACAGATAAGTTTAACTTCTTCATCGTTATCTTTGAAAAGGCGATTTTCTAATATTTAGTACTAATAGCTTTTGATCACAGGTTTTTACTTTTTGCACATCTTGTGCTGCTATGATGGAAACTTTAAATTCAAAACTCAAAAAGATCCTTCCTTTTGAATTAATTATAGAATTAATCAGTTTATAATAGGAAGTGAACAAAATCTCATAATGAGTCCTGTTCCCCCCCCCCATTGCTGATGATAAATTAACAACTACTTCAATATGCAAGATCAACATATTCCTGAAATAGGTTCTGCGGTAGGTATTGGGCATGATTTCTAACCAAAAGTGGCTCTGGCTGGAGGTTTAATTTTCCATATGAAATTACACAAGTCATCATACTGGAAACAAAGACTTGCTTATCTACTTAAAGGCAAGTGTGAGTTAAGGTTCTTGTGCTATAAAATTAAAACTATAAGCCAACTGTTCATAGCCATGAGATAGTCATATTTTGTCAATTTTAGTGCAGCCATATAGTGCAGGCACAGAAGACACTTTCACTGGAATTCTTTTCAAACCAAAAGGGTCTCTGAAAGGGTCACATGGTCCTAATTATTCCTTCCATATTTTATCACTGTAAATATTATGAAGTATTTGTCACAAAGAACACATTAAAAAGCGCAGAGTTTACCAGGTTGTTGGCTGAACCATGATGATATAATCCCAGAATGCTGAAATGAGAGAGAGAGAGAGAGAGAGAGAGAGAGAGAGAGAGAGAGAGAGAGAAATATGAGACTTAGTAATGTAATAAGATGTAATAGTAATGTATTAAGACTTAGTAATAAGACAAATCAAATATAAATGCTATCTGTCAACCAAGAGCCAATGGTAGCCCAGTGGTTAGAATGCAGTATTGCTCATTAATTCTGCATTTCCATTGCCAGGAGTTGAATTCTGACTGGCTCAATGTTGATTCATCCTTTCATCCTTCCGAGGTTAGTAAAATGCAAACCCAAATTGTTGGGGGCAATATGCTGACTCTATAAACCACTTAGAGAGGGCTTTAAAGCACTATGAAGCAGTATATAAGTCTAAGTGCTATTGCTATTAATAAAGCAGTTCCTTTAAAAAAAAATCAGTTTCGATACTCCCAATCCCCTTTAAAATAAATGCACAGTATAGTTAAAAATAATATATATTTCAACTAGCAACAATAATGTCATATTTAGTTAAGTCTTTTATAAACTACTTTTTCCCATTGACTGCAAATATTTTAATTAGGCATGTAAAAGTACACTTTCAGCACAGGGTTGAGATTAAACAACATTATGTTTATTAGGTTACTTCTATTTAGTTGTTTACATTTGGTTATTAAACTGTGAACTGTTGTATTGGGTGACATTTTTAAACTACTGCCGTGACTTTCATATTTGTGTTACACTTTGGTAATATCATATTGTTATTATTATTAGAAAGCAGCATGATGTTGTACAATCATTTTGAATTATGGGAATAAACAAAAGGGTTCTGTCAGAAATAACTCTATAATACATTGCCACTTTTCTTGTTTTTTATTTTGGACAGATCCACAATTCTGCTTGCTTCATATCCTGGAGAGGTTACTCAGTGTTTCTTGAGTGCAGGAATAGAGGGACATAATCTGGTACCCATTCTTAACAGAGTGCCAACAGTCACTTTGTCTCAGCTCATCTCATTTTACAGGTTGTTGTGGGGAACATGGAAGAGGAAAGAATATTAGATATGTCACCATTTTGAATTACTTGTAAAATAATAAGGCAGAATAAAAATCAAATAATAAACAAACAATCAAACAAATGAATAAAAGAATAAATTCTGGGGAACCTATGTTCTCCGGTGGTTGGCAGGTACCTTCTTAAAAAATAGGAAGGAATCAATTGTTCTCTTTGCTTTACTGTAATCATTAGTGCTCACAGCAATGATGGTTAGAAAAAAGGGTAGAAAAAAGTAAGTTTGCCTTAGCATCAATTGACGGAATCTTGGAGGAGTGTGAGGAGTGTGTGAAGGCACCCATGTGTTTAAACATCTTTGAAATTAAAGGAAAAGAATGTGGATCAGTAGAGAGTGAAAAGGGTCTGGAAGACTCCTCACACAGGGGACGACCATCAAGGCTTCCCTTCTCTGCATAGGTTCGAAGACCAAGAACCATGAAAACTACCAGTTGAGTCCCAGTGGCAGTCCAGACTGAGTCTGCTGAACCACTCAAATCTGAACTGGAATTTTACAAGTCTGTTTCAGGAATAGCCAGGATCAGCAAAGAAGAGAAGTTGCTTAAACTGTTGTGCAAATTATCCCTAAAGTGGCTAAATAGCACTAAACTGATAATTAGGAGCAGATTTGGTGGAATTTCAAGGTTACAGAAGTAAAATGAAAATCTAATAAAGCAAATATATTTCAGCCATGTGTCTTGAATGCTCATTATTGTACCATTTTTTTTTTGCAGGAAGTATATTGTTCAGAATACATTGATTAATTGTGTGCCAGCAAGTTAGTGTTAACTATTAGCAATTTCATGGATAGATTTTCTCTATGATAATCTATACCTAATCTGGTATTTCAGGTCTTCTAACAGCATACCCATTGTCTCTGTAAATGGGTGTATCTCACTTGCTGCTGATCAGCTTTTTCTTGTCTTTCAGAATATATGCCAGTGGTATATTGCCATTGGTGAAGTTAAGATCCATTAATTTTGAATTTCCCCCCCTGAATCTCAGTGATCTCCACTGATTTGTTTCCTGGCACCATCTGTAATGTTTAATCTGCAAGGAACACATAGAGATTGAAACTAATTATTGGATTAACATAATTCAGGGGAATCTAATTCCGCTGTATACTCAATGTACTCAGAGTATATTGTGAGCCATTGTCAACTCTATTGCAGAGATGTGCAAAGAACATCTTGATGCATGCAAAGTGTTTCCTTGGTGATCCCTATGAAAATGCTTCTGTCTTTAGGAGATAGCCTTCAGATGAGCTTGCCAAGCTTTCCAGAGGATGCAGCTGCTTTAAAGCTTAAAAGAGAGATGCTTTGCTTGTGCCGGCACACTTTATAAAAGATTCTTATCTAATGCTTTGCACAGTCATATTAAATAGGTACAAAAGCAGATATAAGAATTAAAATAAAAACCTGCTGCCTTTTATTCTGTTCTCCATTCTTTAGGCTGCGATATTCTACATTGCCAGAAGATGGAGGGCTTGACTTAGTAAGGGAGTGCCATAATATGCACTGATATTTCTTTTTACACTGGTTCCTGATGGTCAAGAATGAAAAGATGGATTAAAAAGCTAACTTTGCTAATTGTGGATGAGAAGCAGAAACACTTTTTGCCTTAGGAAATATTTTCAGAGTCGTCTCTTAACAAAATAATTTTAAAATCAATGGCAAAACCTGTTATAGCAAATGTAAATTAGTCATATTTGTGGATGAAATCAGTCTACTTTGTAATAAACATAATTCTGTTTCATAAAAGGCCATAAATGGAATAGCAGTGCCTCATGGAAGTGTCAAGCTTAGAAGGAATGATGCTACTGGCTGGAATCATAGACGAGAAAAATGGCAACTTCCGTTGCTTGGAAAACTTGAAATTTTAGCTAATTTGAATGAGCTATGTCTTTGGGTCAAATAGATAAGTTTTCCTGAATACTTATTCCATAAATACTTATTCAATTTGTGGAAGAGAATTTGCTTTACAACTTATTTCGAAAGATAAGAGAATTTCAGAAATTTCTCATAGATGAATCGTGAGTTGCTGGAACTGGTTTAGTGATAAGGTGAAGATTCAATTTCTCAGGCACAGTCACATCTGCAGCTATTTACACTTTCTTTGGCTTTCCAGATTTCAATTATCCTTTCTTGCAGTAATATTATTCAAGTTTACAATTACAGAGTAAAAAAATAATAATGATGCAAACTAAAGCAAATACAAAAGAGTAAAATGTCAGAAAAGATATAAAAGTCCAAAAAGGGGGGAAATCTTATATATTTTAAAAAAGAAAAAAAATGATATCTATAGAAATAATTTCCCCTTTCATCATGACCATTATCACCTTTTCTTAAACTACAACAAATCCACCCCATCTAATCCTTATTTATAAACAGATTCTAAAAACTTTAACATTTAAATCTAGTCAACAAAAGTCCATTAAGAGTTACTGAAAATAATAATCTATATATTTTAATCTTAATCAAATAAACTCTTTATATTCCTTTGTTTTATTTTTAACAATCTTGATTTTTATTACTTTTTAATAGCGTACAGGACTTGATCCACCCCCCCCCATTGCCTCCATATTTCTTCTCAGAAAGTCTTTAAAACTTTAACACATCTCTTTTGTAAATGCAAAATGAAAAAAATGTCCAAATCACTCTTCTGGTTTGTTATTTGTATCTCTTTTAATTGTTAAGACATCTGGTTTCACCTGTATATCCAGTATAACATCTTTATCTATATCATTCTTTTAATCTGTAATTTTTAAATCCACATTCCAGTCAGCCTCAGAAGCAGTCTTGTTAATAACAGACAATCTTAAAAGTAAATTCTGAGTAAATTAGTCCAAAATATTCTTAAATTTGATCCATTAGAATAATTTGTTGCATTCTTTTATTAGTGGGTCTCTTTTCCTTTAATTATAATCTTTTAATTTTTTCTGCTTTCCTGTAGTATTCAACTTTTAAAGTTCCATCTTGTTACTTATTTTTCTGATCAACATTTTTCCAGAGGAAGATCTCTTATACTTGATTTCAAAATGTTTATTTTTTTTTCAAACAGCTATATTTTCTTACAGGAAAGCTTCTTGGAATTAGTTTCAAAATCTTATTTCAAATTCTGGTCCTTAGTTTGTAACTTTCCAAAGTCAATGTTTTTAATATTTATTTATTTATTTTATTAGTCATATTTCTATGCCGCCCACTCTCCGAGGACTCTGGGCGGCTTACACCAAAGACAGTATACTAAATAGCATATTGCCCCCTAACAATCTGGGTCCTCATTTTACCCACCTCGGAAGGATGGAAGGCTGAGTCAACCTTGAACCGGTGAGATTTGAACCGCTGATCTGCTGAACTAGCAGTCAGCTGAAGTAGCTGCAGTACTGCACCCTAACAACTGCGCCACCTCAGCTCTCAGTTTTAATTACCTTTTGCTTTTATAAAAAAAATATTTTTTAAATCCTTAAATCCTCTTTCACTGAGGATTGAAGGAGACTTACCCAATGTAATAAAACTTGCCAATCTACAGGTTGTTAATATCCAACAAACAGTGAATAAACAATTTCTAAAGGATATTAAGAAATGAAATATATGATCCAGGGTCCTTTTTGAAGGCTCAAAAGCATGGCTTAGTTAAAGGTGACATTTCCCATGGTTCTCAGCTCTCTAAACCATTGGAGACCCTGTTTTATGGTTTCTTCATGGGAAGCTATTCTCTGTGCTGTGTGTGGGCAATCCTGAGTCCTTTCCTTATCTGGAGAGGAAATTCAAGAAGCCGGTCCATTTGCCAACTTGTTATTTTATCATGCTTATCAACTCCAGTCACTATGAAACTATCTTCAGGTCCCCACAGCTTCCCTGAAAATTTTTTCCCACACTTTAATTATCCAAAGAAAATATTATAAGGAAACTAGTTGTCTCTTTTCAGGGATAAGTCCTATTCTTGAAAAATTGTTGGAGAATGTTTGCTACCCCTGAAAAACT